TGAGTGCCTGGTACCCACAGAGGCCAGGGAAGGGCATAAAGCTACCATATGGGTGCTAGAAATCAACCCCAGGTCCTCTGCAAGAGCTACAAATACTCTTAATGTCTGAGCCATCTCTCCAGCCCTGTGATGGTTAATCTAGAGTCACCATGAAAACAAAACTCATAGATTTATGAGGGATTGTCTAGATTAGCTTAAATGAGTCAGGAAGGCCCATGTCAAGGCTATCTATGGTCCTGAACTAAAAAAAAAAAAAAAAAGAAGAACTGATCCCAGGCAGTGGATGATGGTGGCCTCAGAGAAGGTGTGGTTGCCTGGCCTGACACTGTAAGCCAAACCCTCCCTCCTTAAGTTGCTTGTGTCAGCTATTTTGTTGCAGCATTGAGACAGTTAACTAATCTACTTTGTGGGTTTATTGTCAAAACTGGAGATAAGTATTATAAAAGGTGTGGCAGAAGCCTGGGATAGTGAACCTTTCATGAAGGGAGAGATGGATGAGACTGTTGTGTTAACTGCTTTGCTCTTTTGGGTTTTTGAGGGGCCCACCACCCAGCTCCCAAATAAACCACTCACTGAGTCTTATTACTTAGCTTGGCTTGTGCTAGTCAGCTTTTCTTAAGTTATCCCATCTGCCTTTTGCCTCTGGGATTTTCCTGTTCTCTTCTGTAAATCTTACTCTTACTCTGTGGATTGCTTGTAGCTGGATGATGGGGTGACTGGTCCCTGATGTCCCCCTCTCCTCTTTTTCCTCCCCCTCCTCCTCGGTTCTCCTTCCATTTATACTCTCTCCCTGCCAGCCCTGCCTATCCTTGCCCCTGCCTCCCTACTGGCCCTTCAGCTCTTTATTAGACCATCAGGTGTTTTAGACAGGCAAAGAGTCACAGGTTCACTGAGTTAAACAAATGCAGCATAAACAGAAGTCACAAACCTTAAAATAATATTCTACTGCGTGGGACTGTTCTGCATGGCTTTCCTTCTCTATCCTTTCCTTTTGAGTGCATGTTAATTATTCTCCTTTAGGTACAGTCCTGCCTACCCGAAGCTTGTGACCCAGTGGTGGCAGACAGCTATTTTTCACACAAATAAGAAATTAATGATTTCAATAAATTCTTCTAATGGAAAATACAGGGTGTGTTTTGAATTATGAGGGCTTTAACTTAGCTTGCAGACAAGATGTCCCTGAGGAGATGACTCAAAGGATGAAAAGGAGGTAGTCAGAACTCACCCACGAGTCAGGAAAGAGCTTGGCAGGAGCCAGAAAGAAGAGATGGAAAGGCAGCACACTAGGAGGGAGCGCGCACGCGGGTTGGGGGTGGGGGGCCGGCCAGGGCAGGAGATGAGCTCCAGGATGGCTGCTCTTTTCCTGCCTTCAGACTCTAGAGAATCTTATCATTCCTCAACCCTTTTGTTTTAATCTCAATTTTTATTTTTTTCCCAAAAATCTTAACTATAGTAACATTTACTTATTTTTTTTTTTCATTTTTTGATGTTCCAAAATAGGGATGGCCTACTAATACTGTTCCACAAAAAAAAGTTCAAATAAGAAACTCTACCAGCTTGCTAAATACCATATAGGAACTTGAGCCCTAAGAACTTGTCTGTGCTTGGAAAAATACCTTTTTTATTTTACATTTTTAAGACAGGGTCTCATGTAGATTAGGCTGGTTTATGTAGCCAAGGCTGCTTTGAACTGATCCTCTGCTCCTAGCTCCCAATTGCTGTAACCGGTGTGTAACCATGAGGCATGTATCATGAGGTATGTAACATGAGGCCCAGCAAAAACAAAAACAAAAAAAAAACAAAACAAAAAAACCTATTCCAACACCACATTAATACTTGCACTTATAGCATACTTTAGTTAAGTTCAGTTTGCTTTGGCTGGAGTTGATCTGGGGCTTCTGTTGCGACTTAGAGTGACTTCAAAAAATCGTCCCTAACAAAGAATTAAAATGAATTCCTGTGCTGTAGGAAGTTCTTGTAGGATGAAGCATGTAGTTTACTCGGTCTCGTCCTCTGTGTACAGCTATTAAACACCTGAATAAAATGCACAAAGCAGGATGTTTGAGGACTTTGGACTCCTAATACTTGTCCCAGAATATATCTAGTTCTAGGAAATAAATGGCAGGGTAGGTTAGTTGAAGACTCAGGTTTCTGGCTCAAAGAACCAAAGGTGGTGGTGGTGGTGATGGTGGTGGTAATGGTGGTGATGGTGGTGATGGTGGTGTGGTAGTGATGTTGGTGATGGTGAGGTCAAGGGCAAATATCAGGTCATGGTGGAGAAGGCCTCAAGAGTGAAATTCTGTAACTCCTGGGCCCACTGTTAGGCTGTATGGTTATGGATTTGATGTTAAGAGCATAACATAGGCTTGAGTACTGAGCTATAGGGTAGACCACTGTCCACATCCCAGACTAGCCAGTTGTTGAGTACACAACTTGGATACATCTGAATGTCATTGTAGCTGAACTAACATTGGTGCTGCAGCCACAAAGGCATCTGTCCTGAATCCAGTTAGACCAAACTGAAAGAAGAGCTAGACATTTAGGACATAAAGTTCCAATGTCTAGTGTTTACTCCCGATGACTTAGCATACAAAGAGTAAAGAAAATTTCAATTAGCATAGAAGGCAATGAAATAAAAACAAAGAAAAAAAGGCAACAGATAATGTTGAATAAGACAAAACACAAATGCTGAAGTTATTGAAAACAGAATGCTAGAAAATGCTCAACAAAGCAAGAGTGAGCATCTTGAAGTGAATGAAAAGGTGAGAATGATGATGACATGAGTGACGAGTTTCTACACCCCGATAAGCCTCTCCACTGATGCAGAAATCCAACCAGACCAATCAAACCGAATTAGAAAAAGCCCACATTTAATGGATACAACACTCGCGGATGGCCTTCCAGCCCTCCAGAGAGGAGGCAGGAAAGGGAGACTGGAAAAACCACAAGTCTGTTCTCTGGGGGTCTTGAGCATCTGGAGGGGCATCATTTGTCAGGCTTTCTGAGATGCAGCAGGGTTTGGAGGGAGATAGAGGAGGAGGGCTTGGGTGGAACTTCCACCGTAACAATGAGAAGGAACCAAATGGACATGTTAGAATTGATAGCAGAACAAAGATGACAGCGGAGTCGGTGAATTTAAGTGCTGATTCATAAAAATTATGTAATATGAATGGGGAAAATAGTTTTAAAAAATGATCTGAGCCTCAGAAACTTGGTAGGAAATATCAAATTCATGTTAGGAAAATTTAGGAAAAACAAAAAAAAAAAAAGCAATAATGTAGGACTTGTTCCCAAATTTGACAAAAGGAACAACTTACAGACCTAAAACATTTAGTGACCTCCAAAGAGGATAAACTGAGAGAAAGCTATGACTATTCAATAAACTGCTGGAAAACAAAAGCAAAGAAAATATGACAGAAAAAACGCCTTGAAACTAACCAGAGAAAATGATGCATTACTTATAAGAGAACAATGATTGAAATACCTGTAGATTTTGTACAGAGGACAGAACATACAATAATCAATTTATATAACTCACCATATTAAGAAAAAAAGAAACAAAACCACACAGTCATCTTAGTGGGATCTCCTAGCCCTGAAGGTACAGGTGGTTGTGAGCTGTCTGACATTGACATGGATGCTGGAAACCAGCTCAGGTCTTTGGCAAAAGCAATATGTACTCTTAACTGCTGATCTGGCTCACCAGTCACAGTTTCCTATTGCTCAAACAAATGGTCACAAACTCTATAACAAACAAACTCTTGGCTTATAGTAACTACCCTACTTATCCTGCTATCTCAGAATTCAGAAGTCTGAAGTGATGTATTAGGTACTTTTTCTCTGTGACCAAATATCTGACAGATACAATGTAAGGGAGAAAAAGATTTATTTTGGCTCATGGGGACCATCATGAGAAGGAAGGTATGGTCACTCCATGGTAGTGGTTAGAACATGTGGCAGGTACTCACATCACCCAGCAGACAGGACCCTGGTGGCTCAGGCCAGAAGTGAAGCCTGGCTGTAATAACCCTAAACCTACTCTAGTGGACTATGCAAGCCCATTCCCCAAAAGCTCCACAGCTCACTTTCAACCAAGTATTCAAGAGAATGAGCCTGTGAGGGTACATACCAGATTCAAACCATCACAAATAAGATGAAGGTGTCACTGAACTAAAAAGGTGTCAGCGGGTGCCTTTTCTTTCTGCCGGCTGGGAAAGAGTCTGTCCTCTAACCTAACCTGGAAACTGCCTACAATCTGTTACTCACAGACCACTGATTCATTTTCAAAGTCAGCAACACAGTATGTTTGCTTTTAATTTCCTGTGTTTTTGTTTGCCTTTTTAAAAGGACCTTAGCAATTGTACTGAGACCACCACGTTAATCCAGGATGACCACAAGATCCTGTTAGAGCTATACTCTAGCTTCGCGAAGCCCTCTCCCCAATGTCCTCACCCACTGCACAGCGACTATCCATAATGTGTCTTTGTGGTGGTTTACATTTCCGTCTCCCCCTGTGAATGGAGGGTGGCATCTGCACTCACTGTAGCACAGATGTTACTGAATGAATGAGTAAATGAATGAACATAGCCCCTGCTAATGAGTAATGGGGTTGAAGAAACAAGCAGCCTAGTAGAATATGACTATATTTCGTGTGGCTGTGTAGTGACTCGATCCCAAAGTTACAGCTTCCTTCTGTAAGTCCTAGCCATCTTTCAAGATCGCCAGTCCTGTCCTCTGTGGAGCATTTCTCTCCCCTCCCGCCACCGAGCTTCTGTCATCACGCTGTCTCTGTCACCCTCGGGACAGTAGTTCCCCTCGGGATCAGGTGGTTTTGGCACAGCATGGCGGTAACTAAAGAATTCTCTCTGCCTCAGTCTCCCCGAGTGTGACAGGCACGGTGAAATCGGTGTGGAGTGGCGGACGGCGTACTGGGGAGGGCGGGCGGGCGGGGCGCGGCGTGCGGGCGGGGTGGCGTGCGGGGGCGGTGCCGGCGCCGGGCGGGAGCGCGGAGGGACCCGCGACCCCGCGATGGGCCTAGGGGCGCGGCTGGCGGCGCTGCTGGCGCTGCTGGCGCTCGGGGCCTGGGACCCCGCGGCGGCCACGGCGCGGGAGGACACCTTCTCCGCGCTGACCAGCGTGGCGCGCGCCCTGGCGCCCGAGCGGCGGCTGCTGGGGACACTGAGGCGCTACCTGCGCTGGGAGGAGGCGCGACTGCGCGACCTGACCAGGTGAGGACAGCGCGAGGGAGCCCGGGCCGGCGGCGTCCCGCGAGGCCCGGTGTGACTTCCAGACACTGTCACGGGGGAGTGGGGAGTTCTGTGTCATACCTTGTGAGCTCTCTCTCCCCCTCTCTCTCACACACAGACACACACACACACACACACACACACACACACCACACACACACACACACACACACACACACATATATGGGAGTACCCCCATCCCTCCCACACACACCCTAATGTGTCCAAGTTAGTACACTGTGAAAATGTGTAACATGGTGATCGTGGAATACAGTTGAATCTCACAAATGCTATGGCAAGCTGTGAGTGACCCCAGGCTTCTTGTTACTTCACTGAAGACACAGTAAGACAGTGAGATACCCATTTTGGCTATTCTTTCTCTTTCTGACTGTAAGTAGTAACTGAGATATATGTGTGTGAGCATATCTGACTCCAAGAAAACACTGTGAATTTCATGCTAGGTAATACTGAGGTAACACGCACAGATGCACAGCCAACATTATTTTCTTTTTTCTTTCTAATAAATTTTTATTTAAATTAGAAACAATCTTATGTATCAATCCCAGTTCCCTCTCCCTCCCATTCTCCCATCCTCCCATTACCCCCATCCACCCATCCCACCCTCCATCCCCTCCCCAGGGAGGGTGAGGCCTCCCATAAGGGATCATTAAAGTCTGTCTCATCATTTGGGGCAGGACCTAGGCTCTCCCCCTAGCCTGAGAGAGTATCCCTCCATAGGGAATGGGCTCCCAAAGTCCATTTTGTGCACTAGAGATAAATTCTGGTTCCACTGCCAGAGGCCACATAGACTGCCCAGGGCACCAGTGTTATTTTCTATGCAGTCAGCAAAGTAGCACTAAACACTGGGAGGTAAACCATTGTAAGATGTGGGACATTCCAGGTTGTGGTGGTACTCACCTTTAATCCCACTCAAGAGGTAGAGGGGGATGGATCACTGTGAGTTCTAGGCCAGCCTGGCCTACAGAGTGAGTTCCAGGATAGCCAAGACTACATAGAGAAATCCAATCTCATAAAACAAAAAAACAAACAAACAAAAAACAAAAATCAGACTAACAACAACAAAAAAGTGGGACATGGGACACTAATCAGAGTCAAAGAAAAAAAATGTTGTATATGATATCACACGTTTTGTGCCTTTTTTCTTTCAGACACTGAGAAGCCCCCAGACTATAAGTAAGCAGTTGTTTCTGCATAAATCTGAAGGGTCTTACAGCCTGTCTAGACAGAGCACAAGAAGCTCATTTGATTTCTAGCTTTAACTTTAAACGTCAGTTCATCCCAACACCAGAACCCTCCCTGCTCCACTCACACAAATGTTTATAAGAAATGATCATTAAGGACAGCCAGTTTCATAAGAGTTGGCTTAATCCTGCAGTCTGCACTTCAAATAGCCATTGGTGGTAACTTATGACTTGTGTGAGTGCAAGCATTTGTCCAGGCTGCCTTATCCAAATTGGTTTGTCAAAAACACCAGGTCACATTCTTACACTAAGAAAAAACATTGTATAAACATGACACAAGTTTAGGAAGAGCTAATAAAAGAGACCTGTCTACACCAAAAAGAAGAGGTTATTTTGATTAATTTCCCATGTCCATCCCATTACTTTCTGATGCCTACCCCCATTTGAATTATCTGATATGTCAGGACCCAAACAGAGCCTCACAACTATTTTGGGTTTTGTCAGTAGCTGGAGTACAGAGTGGCTCAGAGTCTAGAGTCAGGAGCTCAACAGACCTCTGTTTGATTTCTTGACTCTGTCCTTGTTACATCTTTAAGCATTAATTTTCTAATCTATATACAATGATGATTTTAAAAATAAGTATCACTTATCACCATGTGGTTCTAGGAACGATTGTGCTCCAGGTAAAGTTACTTACCTTTGTGCTTAGTGTATAGGAAATTACTGGACAAATGTTAACTTTTTCTGGCTATTTAAGACTGGCTGATTAGCAGGCAATGGTGGCGCATGCCTTTAATCCCAGCACTAGAGAGGCAGAGGCAGGCTGATCTCTGTGAGTTTGAGGTCAGCCTGGTCTACAGAGTGAGGTCCAGGACAGCCAAGGCTACACAGAAAAACCCTGTCTTGAAAACAAAACAACCCAAACAAACAACCAAACAAGATAAGTGTAATTCCAGTACTGTGTGGCCAAAGCAGGAAGAGTGTTGTGAGTTTGAGGCAAGCCCTAGCCACGGTGAAACCCTCTCTCAAATACTGCTTTTGGTGCTGCCACCCTGTCAGCCGTACGCCCTAACTGGGATTCTAAAAGATTAAAAAGGAATTTTTTAAAACCCTAGATTCTTTTCTCTGGTGATTATGAACGTTTAATTTCATCAAGTTCAATTTGATGTATTAGAGGTTATGGATTCTGCACTAGTCATTCTCAAAAGCCCAGAAAAATGTTTGCTTTTAAAAACGAGAATTTGGGCAGTTTCAGCTCATTTTTCTATAGTCTCAAACTGGTGATTTTATATGTAAGTTGAAATGTTATTTCTAAGGCCCTCGACTTGTATTCTTTGAATTTCCAAGTCAGGAAATGAAGTGGCTTTGGCTGCTGACGCCACCCCTCCCCACTAATGCATCAAGCGTGCTAGTTAGGGTCTCCATCACTGTACTATCAGGGAGATCAGGGAGCACAGTTGGCGTGTGTGTCTAGCCCATTCCTCGAATATCTGTGTTCCCACCATTTAAGAACTACAAAGAGTGAAAAAGTAGAATTATTTCTGGGCTCAGAATGAAGCATTCAGAGTGTCTCAGAAGCATGATGACAAAGCCATTTCTCAATTTCAAAGGAGAAACACATTGAATTGGCATAGCTCATGTACTGCGGTTAAATAATCTACCCACAGTGCTTATTGCTGGGATTGGGTTGCGAATTTTATGTGCAGATTCTTGAAGGAAAGGATCTGATTTTCCACTCTCAGCAGCATTTGTTAAAGCAAAAAGTCATTTGGGAAAGCCTGAGGTTGGCCTTCAGCGTCCCGTAACTCAGTCTCTGGAAAGGAGCTGTTTGCTCAGAGGCTGGGCGTACAGCCAAGTTTTGCATTCCTAGCCAGCCTCAGATATCAGTCTATAGATTTCCCCCCTTCCTTTCCTGTGTGGAAGGGGGGAAAGTCGTGTTTGACCACTGCATTGCTTGATGTGCTGCTGTGAAGAGCCAAGCCCTGATCTAAAACAAATCAGAATGTGATGTGGGATGCAAGGAAGACAAAGTGTCCACAGTGCTTGGGTGTGATGAGTAACTTGAAATAACAGTCACCCCTGTGCCACACTTCGTTCCCTTTGGGCCTCTGTTAGTTTGGATGCCTGTTAAACATTTGTCTATTTCATTGTGGAAAAGGTGATGAGAAGTTGTGAAGTGAAAGGTCCCTAAGAGATTTGTAGAATAGAGAAGCCTTTTCACCTCCCAGTGCAGACAGCTGGCTGGTGGCTGGGTCAGAGTTAGTCTTAGGCCTGCTTGCCCCGGCTCCTCCCTATCCAACCGTCTTGTAAAAACCACTCTGTGCTCAGCCTCAATTGTTCCTGGACACTTTACGTTTTAGGCTGGACTTGGCTGAGGCCTGCACTTCTACATTCTTTTTTCTTTCTTTCTTTTTTTCTGTCTAGAAGTTCACTAAGTGGTTCCATATGGAGCCCAAGCAGGCAGGAAAGAATGGGCAGTAAAACAACCCCCACACCCTGGAGACTGATTTGGATTTGGAATCCCAGAAGAGCAACTCACAAGCAGCCCTGTCTTTGGGGTCAGAGACACCATGGGACTTGACAGGCTTCTGTGTCCTGCTTTAGGTCACCCAAGCCCAGATTTTTGTGATTCAGTTTATGTTGAACATTTGACTTCGTGGAAGCTTTGGATGTGTTGTGTCTATTTCAGGCTTCCTTTGTTGAGAGCCTCACTCTTCGGAAATCCTCAGATTACACTGCACCAAAGCAATGGATTTCCCATCACTTTCTCTGTTCTTCTTTGTTACACCATACCATCTGCAAAGTCCCCCACTTTCCCCAAAAGCCCCACTGTCCAATGAGCTCTTGTACATATTTGTAACCCTACTTCCATTTGTTGTTGTTATATTGATTTTCAAATTAACTTTTGAGTAAGGAGAAAAAGCGCTTGGAGCATAAGAGGCACCTGTAACTGCCCCATTCAACATGATCAATACATTTCAATAATATAAAATTCATCATCATGTTAGACATGGAGTAACCACAGTATAGCAGAAAAGGGAACAGCATCTTTTGCCTACATGAACACTCTTGTAGAACACCCAGGAAAAATTAATTAGAAAGATGGTTCCTCCAGGTCCTAGCACTTTCGGCCTTTCCTGATAATGTCACCTTGTTGGAAGAACAGAATAGCCTCACTCTCTCTCCGTTCCAGTTTCCATCCTAATTCCTGAATTGCTCCCTTGAATCCATCCCATTCTCTTCCCCAAGGTCCCTATGATACATTAAACTCTTCTTGTCTCACACCATCCCATCCTTAGCCATTGTTGGCTTCAGTTGCTTCCATTTCTGAATCTTCTTCCGCACTCTCTCACAAACTCACTTATGTGACCCAGTCCTTTGGCCAAATTAACCCCCCTTGCTCTCCTCTGGTCTTGTTATTCAGTCTAGTACTTCATCTATGACATAATTGTGTCTCGCTCACCCACTGGACTTTGACCAATCTCACTGTCTTATTCAAGGTTTGGCTCCTGGCTTCTAGAAGAATGTACTTTATTCATTATTTCATAGAGACATGTGTTGAAGCCGGGTCTGGTGTCACAGGCCTGTAACTTGGGAGGCTAAGTCATGAGGATAACAAGTTCAAGGCCTGCATGGTCTACCAAGTGAGTTCATGGTCATCCAGGCATCTTAATGAGAGCTAATTATGTAATGCAGGGGTGAAATGCTTGCCTCATGCACAGGGCCCGAGGTTAAACCCCCAGGATCACACACACACACACACACACACACACACACACACACAGTATTAAACTTAGGAACTATGCTGATTAAATGAGATAGCCCCCATAAGTTCATAAATGTGAATACTTTGCCCCCAGTTGGTGTAACTGTTGGAAAGGACTAGGAGGTGTGGCCTTATTTGAGGAGGTATGTCACTGGGGTCAAGCTTTGAGGTTTTAAAAGTCTCACTGTTCCCAGTGTGCTCTCTCTGCACCTCATGCTTGTCCTGTGTCAAGATACAAATCCCCAGCTGTTCTGTTGCTCTGCCATAATGAACTCTAACCCCATGAAACCGTAAGCTCAATGAAATGTTTTATTGATAGTTGCCATGGTCATGGTGTTTTATCATAGTGATGGAAAAGTAACTAAAACAGGTACAAAGTGATGAGAACAAGCTCCTTTTGTTCCACAAACTTAATGTGCAGTGCTGTCATCTTTCCTTTGCATCCCAGTACCAACAATGGAGTCTGACATCCAGAAAGTGATGAATATATGTTAATTCATTGAATGGGTAATTATATGTCAGGCTTTTGCATATTTATAAACATTGGTCCCTATTAACTCAAAACACACTCTTCTTCCCTTCCAGTCTTGTTCATTCCCATGAGAACCATGGCAAAATGAACCCAGAATCCAGGCTTCTGAATGGAATGTCTTCGGTTTCAGTGCTGGCTTGGCTATTTACGAACAGTGCAGCCTCGCTTTCATTTTCTCCACTGCAAATAGGACTGGATAAAATCTATATTAAGTGGGCTGGAGAGAGAGCTCCGCAATTAATAGCACTTGATGCTTTCCAGGGGACCCAGGTTTGGTCCCCCCCCCCACTCACATGGCTCACAGCCATCCAGAGCTCCAGTTCCAGAGGATCCAATGCCCTCTTCTGGCCTCTTGTGGTGCACAGACACACAAGCAGGCAAAACGCCCCATATATAAAATAAATAAAATAAAATAAAATAAATCTATTTTAAAATAGTCTACACTAAAGGTTGTTGTGGGCAACAGCTCTTAAGAGAGGTGATACATTCAAAGTATTCAGTAGAATACCCAGTACGAGGATCCAGTAGGTAGCAGCCATCAAAATATTTAAACATCCTTCAAGAAGCAGATCAGCTGCCACCTCTTCCAGGAACCTACCCCTCACCTTTTCTGACTGTCGCAGCTTCGCATGTACAGGGCTTCTTAGCATATATCACAGTTATTTGTTCCACGCTTTTGCATCCCTTCCAGACACTAACTATTGAGTGTAGGGTGATAACAGAAGAAATGAACTTGGTGCCTGTTAACACTTTGATCTGGACCATGTCTTACCTGTGTATCTCTAACATATAGTATAGTGCCAGACATATTGTCTCTAAATTTCTATACCAGCTCATTCAGTGAATACATGGGCAAGCCCACTTTTTGTATTTTCAGTTTTCATGTCTTTTATGCTTGCCTGATTACTTTCATTGAACTCTTTCTATAAGTTGCAAGAGGTTCCGCGTTTCTATCTCTATATCTCTATCACCTCCACAAGCCTAAAGAAGTGAGGACTGCAAGCAGGTCTACTGCACCCAGCTCTTAATTTTAGCTGTTCTCATCATGCCAGCCTTCCTGATATAACAGTCATGTCTACAGTGAGATAATTCTTTATCACTTCTTTCAGATTTTATGACAAGGTACTCTCTCTGCACGAGGATGCGACGATCCCTGTAGTGAACCCTCTGCTTGCTTTTACTCTCATCAAACGTTTGCAGTCTGACTGGAGGAATGTGGTGCATAGTCTGGAGGCCACTGAGAACATCCGAGGTAATGAGGAGTATGGGAGAAGCTCCTAGCTCCTGACTCCCTGTAATGATAGAGATTCTGTTGAGTTACAATGAGGGGTAACAGAGTGGATGGGAATTACTTGAGCTCTCAAGCTCTTTAAAATCCATAGAGTTGGTTCCCTTGCTAATAGGTTATGATTTCAGATTAGAAAATGCTTTCACATCTATTACCTCACTTAGTCTCCACTACAATCAAGTGAAGAAGTATGTATCTACCCAGTTATGTATGTGTATTTATGTATTTTAATGCTTAGAAAGTTGTGGCCTTTAATAATTTCTTTTGTTATTTTGGTTTGGTTTGTTTTCAAGACAGGGTTTCTCTATGTAACTTCAAAGCCTGTCCTGGAACTTGCTTTGTAAACCAGGCTGGCCTGGAACTCTCAGAGATCAACCTGCCTCTGCCTCCCAAGTGCTGGGATCAAAGGCATGTGCCACCATCACCCGGTCTTCTAGTAGTTTCTATTTGAAGCTCTTACTGAGAATAGTGTATCGTGATCTGTAACAAGTCATTTTCCTAATTCAGTCTACCTTGCACTGTAAAAAGTTGGTTAGTGCACTTTATTTCATTTTAATCCCTCCATGCCATTATTCTGAATGTCCTTCATCCAGATAGTCATGTTAAGAATCCACTCTGGAGGGCCAGAGAGATGCCTCAGTGGTTATGAGCACTCGCTGTTCTTCCAAGGGGACCCAATTCAGATGCCAGTGTCTACATCCCAACAGCTCACAACTGACTATACCACCAGTTCCAGGGGATCCTGTGTGCTCTTCTGACCTCTGTGGTCACCTGCAGACATGCTGGAGCACACACGTGCACACACAAACCCCCACACACCTTTAAGAAAAAATAATTCATTTCATGTTGGGAACTGAGCTTGCTGCTGGGGCTCTTTGAGTAGGTGGTCAAATGGGATAAATGCTCACTACCTGTGTTTAGAGGTTGGGTTACACTCTTACTATTTTTACAGCTCTGAAGGATGGTTATGAGAAGGTAGAGCAAGACCTTCCTGCCTTTGAGGACCTCGAGGGAGCAGCGAGGGCCCTGATGCGGCTGCAGGATGTGTACATGCTCAACGTGAAGGGCCTGGCCCAGGGTGTCTTCCAGAGGGTCACAGGCTCCTCCATCACTTACCTGTACAGTCCCAGGCAGCTCTTCCCCCTCACAGCTGATGACTGCTTCCATGTAGGCAAGGTGACATGCAAAGAGGGGCAGCTGCTCAGTTTCTTATGGATGGACTGTGTCCCAACTGTCTTTATGTATTGCCTATGCACGTGGTAAACCTTGACATTTGGTATCGTTCCTGTTTTCACAGGAGGAAACCAAGGTTCAGACAGGGTAGATCACTGAGACTGCATAATATAAAGTGAGAGAACCAACTTTGGGCCTCATCTTTCAGCTCTAAACCCCATGCTTTTCCCATGGGAAAGTGAAGTCTCAGATATTAGGATATCCTTGAGTGTGAACGGCTTTTCTTTATTTCCAACAGGGTATTGTGTATCCCAGGCTGGTGTTAAACTTGCCAGGGTCTTCCTGCCTCAATCTCTCCAGTGCTGGGGTCACATCATGCCCAGTTTCTGCAGTGCTGGAAATCAAACCCAGGGTCTCGTGCATGCTAGCCAAACACTCTGCTAACTGAGCGGCATCCTTCACATAGGAAATAGTTCAGTTAAACATGGTAGGATGAAAGACACAAACTAGGCAAAAAGCATCTTTGTCTTTTTTCTTCCCACACTAACTATACACCCTACAGGTATATGAATCGGTGGGTGGAAAGCAGAGGGAAGGGTGAAGATGGGTTTCCAGATGATGATGCGAAGGTTAGATCTCCCAAGATGCTCAGGAATCCTTTTCAATTTTCCTCAAGTATTTAGAAATACTGAGTTAAGTTAGTGTAAAACAACAACCAAGGCTAGGCACGTTGACGTAACTTGAGGAAATAAGCCTCAAGAATCTCCCATAGGTGTATTTAGCTAATTTTTGGTCATACTGGGTTGTTTTATAATACACTTTTTGCCAGGTTTTGCTTTCAAAAGTCATGGGGTAGAATCTTCTTCTTCTTTTTGAAAATGCTTACTGCGGGAAAGTGTTATTGTTTTGTCCTTCCCACCCCCATCCAAGTTCAGTAGCAGATGTGACAGCATGCTTCATGGGTCCCAGTGCCAAACCTGGGGAATCAGTTTCCCAGATCTATGCACAGTGAGCCTCTCTGCTTCCTGTTTCTCTCTGTGTGGTCCTGAGCAGAACCAGGGTGCAGTTTGCTCATGGCTAGTTCAAGCAGTTGGGTGCACCACACTGGTAAATGCTCGCTGGTGGAGCCTGTTGACCATATATTGAAAACTATCACATGCTGAAATTTAGTAAGCCAACTTCCTGAAAGGCTTGCTGGAAATCTTCACCTCTGTGTTTATCTAAAAGACAATGCATTTCAAATGTAAGGATGGTACGTAGGACAACTTCAAAAGTAGTTACAGCTATAAATGAGGTGAAAGACATTTTCAAATTTGGCTATATTTATTTACACATTTTTCCCTCTCATTCCTACCACCTCACCACTAGCCAGGTCACCAGTGTCCTCTACCAAGCAGGGCATTATCTTCTGAGATTGGCTTCTTCTCTCTGCAGCTTAGGATGCATTTATGGTGCTGTGTGTGTTAGTGCTCATTTTAAAAGATTTATTTAATTTTATGTGTATGAATGTCTTGCTCACATGTATGTCTGTGCACTACATGCATGCCTGGTGCTTTCAGAGGACAGAAGAGAGCATCAGGTCTTCTGTGGAGTTATGGATGGCAGTGAGCCTCCATGTGAGTAATGGGAATTCAACCCAGGTCCTCTGCAAAAGAAGCCAGTGTGTGTGGTATATGTGTGTGTGTGTGTGTGTGTATGTGGGTTGTATGAGCTGAGCCATCTCTCCAGTTCAGTAGTTCATTTGTATTGATCTATTGTGTGGATATATCACAAACTATTTATTTAGTCTCCTGTTGATATGTGCTCACACGACTTCCTGTTTGAACTACTGTGAGGAAGGCTGCTATTAGCATTCTTACTGTGTCCTGTGCCTGCTTGTCTTTATTGCTTATTTTCCTTTTGTCTCACCTTGTAGCCCAGGCTAGCCTCAGCCTCCCATATGCTACACAGCATAAGCATCTGCTAAATTTTCAGCTATATTTTTGTTTCTACCACCTGGCACTTAAGTTTTTTCTTTGGAAGCATGTAACCTCATGCTTTTTGTATTTTATTTAAAATGTCTAAATATTTATGTTTAAAAGAATTCCAGTTATGTCAATCTACCATATTGCTAGAACTTGAAATTCCCCATGAAAATGCCAGATAAATGGTTAGGACTGGGATGTAGCTCCCTAGCATACATGAAACTCTGCGTTCAGTCTCCAGCATCACATACATACACATAGAACACATACATACATACACACAACATACCACACACCATGCCTATATACCACATACAACCTGCATACACATATACATATACATATATACATACACATTACACATATACATACTACACATACCACACATACACTCCCTCCACGTACATACATACACATCACACACCACATACACACCCCATATATATATACATGAATATACATATATATGTCATACACACATATATACTACACATACTTATACATACATACACATACCACACATATACAGATATATACACTACAGTATACATGTATACATACATCACACTCAGATATAAATATACACACCATACATGCCACAATGTACATATACATACAACACAGTTAATTTGACAGGGCAAAGATTAAGTTATTATTATTATTGGATTCAACCTTTTTTAACAAATAAGAAATATGTAAAGGGCCAGCAAAACAATACCACAGGTTGAAGGCAACCCTGAGATGGGAACTGCTCTATTATTTTGCCTGCAGACTGGCAGCATCCCTAGGTCCTGCCCTGACTGGCAGTTATACCTCAGTGAGATCACTTTGTAAGAGTTGTTACAACTCAGTGAATTTATAATTCCATGTTGCTTCAGTATTGACTTCCAGGAAATTCTCCCCGAAGGTCTGGCATTCTCCTTAACTGTAAGCCGGCAGGAGACGGGAGCCATGTCTGGTACAGGCTGCCATGTTGCCCCACACTTCGACATTTAATCAGAACTGACCTGCTCAGCTACCACCGCATTCCCCATGTCTGCCCTCATTACAGTGGAGGACGTGCCGTGCTGTAGTGAGTGACTGGTTTGTTCACAAGCTCTCGCTGATTCAGGGCTTTAAGAGTGAGAAACACCACACACAGTGAGCAGAAAGTATTGAAAGAATTAAGTGTATTTTATTCCTCACAGAGCTCCCAGCAATATCCTTCTAAGAACACAACCCAGGCCACAATAGGCTGGGTGCCTACTCGTCGTGCTCTCTTTCGTTTTCTTCATGCCAGACAGACCCCAGGGAATTATGTGAACAGGACATTGATTTTGACACTCTCTCATCTTAAAAGCACTTCCTCACAACCTCTGTTCACTGAATTCTTTTCTTTCTTTGAGAAAGGTCTGACAGGGATGTCACTCCATAAACATGCTGAGGCCCCAAGTCTCTTTCTCCTCTAAGCCTCCACAGTGCATAAGGCATGTTCTTAAAGCCCTGGCACCATTTTGTTCATCTCTCTGTCTCCTAGATCATAAATTCCTTAATGCAAGAACCCTGTCTTCTCTCTATAAGTACAATGCCATATACTGGTATTAGACAATAGATATTAAACTGAATCAAAGTAAATTTGAAAGTAAAGCTAGTCTTTTGCAGTCTAGAGGCCTCTTACTCTGAATAGTCAGATGGTTTCTTTTCTCTGCCTGTGGCCTGAAGCTGTGGTGGCTCGTGTTCCCTGCAGGTGGCCTATGACATGGGGGATTACTACCATGCCATCCCATGGCTGGAGGAAGCTGTCAGTCTCTTCCGAACATCTTATGGGGAGTGGAAGACGGAGGATGAGGCCAGTCTGGACGACGCCCTAGATTACCTGGCCTTTGCCTGTTTCCAGGTGGGAGGAGGTGGTGAAGCTCAGTTTTATCACCATCAGTACAATGTTCTACACCACTTTCTTATTTGCTTCATCTTCCCAGGGGACCAAATGTAAGGCTGTTACTTTCTTATCACCATAGATTTATGTAAGTAAGTCAAGCTCCTAAAAAACTCTTAAAGTGCCAGGAAGCGCATAGAGGTGTGTTTAGAATCCACATCTGAATCTAAGTTTAGGGTGCTAACCAATGCATGGACCGCTTTGCAATCTTCATCTCTCTCTTACTTGCTGTAGTAGCAGCACATAGGTGTTTGATGGGGGCCACAGTCAATGGAGGATGCTCTTTGTACTCTCACTAATTCATGGTTCATCACTGATAACATACCACAATGCTGCTATGAAGGGAGAAGTTTGGTTATCCTCTCTCATCTGACACTAAATCCAGCTGTAACATGGCCATTGTTGACTGCAGAGTTGACATCTTCATTCCATTGTGCCAACCTGAGAAGTTCCCACAGCTCCCAGCTTTCCTACATACTGTTGATCTGCTGCCTGCTGCATCACACGGGGACAGCCTTCACCCTAAATATAGCAGCTTCCATCATTCTGCATGACTAGCTTCATTTCTCACCAGCTGTACAGTCTTCAAGAACAGGCTGGGAAAAAACAAAACAAAAACAAAAACAAAAAAACTATCATCTCGAAGGTTCCCCAGATTCTAAAGTTAATAATCCAGGCTGTTTCCTGTTGTTATTTAGGGGTGGGTGGGAATTGAACCTAGGATGAGGTAGACAAGTGCTCTACCTCAGAGCCACAGCCCCATGTGTACATTTTCTCTCTGTTTTCCTGAGAATAAAGAAGGAGCATGTGGTGATCAAAACCCACAAGTTGCTGAGAAAACAATTTATCCTCCTCAGAGCAGCTGTCAGTCTCCTCTCTCCATGGTCATCTTGGTACATGTGTCTTAGCTGCATGTCTGTGCACTCCTCCTACCTCTCCTCATTTGCTATGGCAAATGGCAAGACATGGTTGAGATTTAATAGAAGGCAGAACCAACAGAGAGACTCAGAGAATGGATTACAAATACAGTGCCCAGTGATTAACTTTGTTTTATTTCCCTGCAAATCTGGTGACAGGCTTCTCCTCCTTTCTCCTTTCCTCTCCACGTCACATTCAATTTGTCCGGCAGGCTCAGCTCAAGTGTCACCTACTTTATGAAGTCTTTCTTACCTCTTCGCACCCCCCCCCAGCTTTCCCTGTGGACTCTCACAGCACATTCCACCAAAAACACAGAAGACTTCATCTTACAAATGACTTATGCCCCCCACTTTTGCCTGGTAAATCTGGTAGATATCCCTTAACTCTAGACCTTTGATTTCATATATATTTTCAATTAAGATTTTAGTAACAATTAAATCAGTCATTAAGCCATAGATCTTGGAGTCACACAGACAAAGTTGAAATTCTTTGGAACCTTGAGCCACAGACTTAACCTCCCTGAGCCTTGGTTTCCTTACCTGTGAAGATAAAAGAAGAATAATGCTGGTGCTTGTTTTAAATGCTATGACTTTAAGTTAGTATCTGGCAGTACAGGATACTCTTGGGTTATTTAACCGTTCCTCTGTTAAGTATAGAACAGAATAATTCACAGTAATAAATAGTGAGGTACAGTCTGCATTCCCAACAGCAGTGGAATGTTTGGCATCTATAATGTTGTTTCTGGGTGAAATAAAATGTAGCCATTAAAGTGATTTCTATGAAGACTACAATGATTAAAAAAGTATTCTTGCCAGGTGTTGATGGCACTTGAGAGAGGCAGAGGCAGGTGGATCTCTGAGAGTTCGAGGCCAGCCTGATCTACAGAGCTAGTTCCAGGACAGGTTCCAAAACAATACAGAGAAACCCTGTCTAGAAAAACCAAAAAGAAAAAAAGTATTCTTGATGCAAAAATTAGAAGGGAACAATAATGCTATAAAAAATATGGTTGTGACTACATAAAAACTGCATACAGTTAACAGTGTTTGAAGTGGCTGGGTTTCAGTGGAGTGATATTTTAAAATCTCCCTCATAGATTTTACACTGTGATTATTATTATTGCTCTATCACTAGAATGACATTGTAGCATGCTGAAAGTTCAAGGCATTCCGTGTCTGTGCATCCTGTCAGCTGCAGCACCCAGAGGCAGACTGCAGCCTGCCTGTGTGGGAGTCCCTTCCTCACACTTAGGTACTCTGACCATGATGAGGCCAAGGCTGAATGGCTACAGACAGCTAGTCCCTGCACAGCTGGCCAAGTTCCTTCTAGTTTTTCTGTTGCTTTCTTCCCACTGTCAAGACTCTGGGAAGTTCTAAATCTGGAGAACAAGAATAAACTGTACTTTTGCTAGAATTTCTCTCTCAACCTCTCTTCCTTCACCGCCTCCTCTTCATCTCCTCCTTCCTTTTTTTTTTTTTTTTTTTTTTCTTTTGGCTATGCTGTGGGTTAAACTGAGGCACATTCTAGGCAAGCAACTCACCACTGAGCTATGCACCAGCCCAATTAAACTTAACCCAGGTTTTCTTTCTACCTTTGCTGGTAAGGGCAGTAATAACATATTTGTTAATAAGAAGACTTGATTTGTAGCAGGGCTGCAAAAACAACAGCACAAACCCCACAATCCTCTGCATTTCCAGCCCATTGCTTTTTTCAATGAACCTTATTATCTATTTCAGTAAGAGTATTTCATAGTTTTTAAAACTCTTCAGTGATTTAATTAGAGAAAATATCTTCATTTCAGTTGACAGTTTTTTCTTTTCTTTTTTAATAAGGCAGGAAATGTTTCATGTGCCCTCAGCCTCTCCCGAGAGTTCCTTCACTACAGTAAGTGACACTAAGGCGTAAACTACCCATCTCACTTCTGCCCCCAACCTTCAATTCTTCTTGTAAGCGAAGTGTGAAGTATAGTGTGTGTGTGCTAGTAACATGCCTATGTTTATGCATGCAGAGACCAGAGGAGGATACTGGGTGTCTTTCTTTATTGATGTCTCTTTTTTAATTTAATTTTTATTTTACTTTATGAGTATTTTTATGTGTATGAGTATTTTGTCTGTCTGCATGTACACTACTTGCATGCCTGATGCCTGGGGAAATCAAAAGATATCAGATTCTCTGGAACTGGAGTTAAAGACAGTTGTGAGCTGCTGTGTGAGTATTAGGAATAGAACCCAGATCCTCTAGCAGAGGAGTCAGAGGAGTCAAGGCTCTTAACCACTGAGCCATTTCTGCACTCTCTCTCTCTCTCTCTCTCTCTCTCTCTCTCTCTCTCTCTCTCTCTCCCTTAGACACGGTTTCTCTGTATCTTTGGAGACTTCCCTAGAACTCTGTAGACCAGGCTGGCCTCGAACTCACAGGGATCTGCTGTCTCTGCCTCTCTCCCTAGTGCTGGGATTAAAGGTGAGCACCACCATTGCACCGGTTTCACCTTTTTTGTAAGACAAGGTCTTTCACTGAACCCGAAGTTCACTGCTTTGTCTAAGCCATGTGGTTAGTGAGCTCTCAAGCTCCCACAATCTGCCTGTCCTCACCCCCAAAAGTGCAGGTGGGTGGCCATGTCCAGCTATGTGTGTGGGTGCTGGGATTTGAACTCAGGCTCCCTTGCTTTCAATACAAGCACTCTGTCTGTGAGCCACTTTCCCAGGCCTCAACCAACCTTTTTTATTATTCTAATTTCATTTTATTTATACACAGATTATTGAAAGGGGAAATTCATGAGTTAGTTGGAAAAATGCTTAGAAGATGTCAAGCTGCCCCTTCCCAACTTGTTCTTTCTATGGGAACAAGTCCAGGCTCAGAGCCAGGTTCTTCAGAGGCGGCTTGAAGACCCAGGTTTTGGAAGGGAACCCAGGAATGGATAAAGTCAATGTGCACTGTGTATATGAGGAGGGAGTGACTCAGAGGGCTATTCACTTCTTCCACTGCTTACTGAGAGCTATCAGTTCTTCCCCTGAAAACCAGAGCTCACTTGGCTATGCAGGCATCCTGCCCAGCCCAGCTCAGCCCCTTCCGGGAATGCCTTGTGTCAACAGCAAAAGGAGGAGATGCTGAGAAGCTCAGCTTCAAGATAGTTACTTAAAATTTTGGTGGTAGATGGCTCCCTAGATTTTCCTTTAATATTTAGCTACTAAAATAAGTTGTGAAATCACTAATATCACCAAGTGCTTGAGGGCTTCCTTTTTGAATTTAATTTTTATTTTTTGTGTGTGAGTATTTTGCCTGCATGTATGTCTGTGCACTGTGTGCATGCTTGGTGTGCATGGAGGCCAGAAGACAGTGTCAGGTCTTCTGGGACTGGAGTTACAGATGGTTGTGAGCCCCCATGTGGGTGCTGGGAACTGAACCTACAAGCATGAGCCTCTACAAAGTACTTTTAAACTGCAATTACTTGTAACTTTTGAATGAATCCACCTAGTATGTCCGGCCCTCCTTAATTATCTCTAGGTTCTGTATCCATGGATTCAATCAACTTTGTATGTTAAAAAAAAATACATGAAAATCACTGTAGCATGAATAATACAAACCTAGAGACAGAAATTGGGGTTAAAACTGAAGACCAGAGAAGCAAAGCAGCCAGCCACTAGAGTTCTCACCTCTACCAATGCTCAGACCAAAGGGGTGATGCTGTCCTCAGAGTGACTGCTGACTATACTGCCTTCCACCAAACCTTGCACTGCACCCCACTGAGTTCCTGCCTTCCTCTCTAGTGCTGGGATCAAAGGTGTGAGCTCTGTTTCTCTTTTAGACTGATTCACTCTCATGGCCTTGAGCTCACAGAGATCCATTTGCCTCTGTTTCCCAAATGCTGGGATCAAAAGTGTGTCCTCTATGGGTAACTAGTAGCTTAGCTCTTAACTAAGTGTGTTGTTAACTAGTGGCTTAGCTCTGCATTCTGATCTTCAGGCAAGTTTTATTTGTTAGAGATAAACAGTAATCTACAAAACACTGTTGGGTCAAAACCAATAGCCTTTCCTCTTGTCATTGTCCCCTAAGTAGCACAAAGTAACATCTCTCTCCTTAATTGTGTATAATATAGCATTTACATTATGTTATAATGTTATATATTATATAAATATGTTATAAATAAACTAGAGATGATTTGAAGTATATTGATGGGTGTGCATAAACTGCCTGCAAACACTGTACTATTTTATGATTGGGACTTGTGCATCTGTAGATTTTTATGTCTAAAGGGATCCTAGAACCATCCACTGAGAGAGAGCTCTGACATTATTCATTTCTGACAAAGAACAGGACATGGAAGTCACTAAGTGGTCTGGAAATGCAAGCATTACTAGTAGTATAAACATATTAAGGGGCTGGGGTGATGGCTCTTACTAAAGCACATGCCTTGCAAACATGAGGACCAGAGTTCAGATCAACAGAAACCCACATAAAATTCTGGGTGTGTGTGAAGGCCCACCTATAATTCCAGCCTTCAGAGGCAACGGTGAAAACAAGACATCTCCTCAAGTTCACTAGCAAAACTAGCCAAATCTGGCAGCTCTGGGTTCAATTGAGAGACCCCTGTCTCAATGAATAAGGTACGGAGCAATGGATGATGATTCTTGACCACAACATCAAGCCTCCAATGCATGTGCACACTTCCATGTGCATTTACAAATGCTCAAGAACGTGAATACACACACACACACACACACACACACACACTGCCTTTAACACAAGAGCTGGGCTTCGAAAGGGTAGGGACAGAGACAGAGACAGGCAGCTTTCTGGGGCCTGCAGGCCAGCCTACCCAGATGAAAACCAAGTAACTCCAGGGTCAGTGAGGGACCATGTCTGAAGGGAATAAGGTGGACAGCAACTGAGGAAGACACCCAACAACCTGTCTCTCTGGGCTCCAAAGGCACACACAAGGGCTCACCTCCGCCACACACATACATGTATGTTCACATACACATAACAACCCCCCACTCCTTGTGCACACACACATAAATGTGATATATAAGAACAGGTTGGACCTGTACTCTGTGTGATGATTGAGCTTCCTACTACTGCTCTTACTGCCCTGTTCTTTTCCAAGTGGTTACTGAATGCTGTGCTCCGGGAGGTCAGCCTTGCATAGTATCTGGCATAGAACATGGTTTTGAGCATCTACTAAGTGATCTGATGAGTGGATAGACAAATGGATGGATGGATAGATGGATGGATGGATGAAGCTTTCTTTGTAACATAGAACTGACCACATGGTCCCCTGTCTAAGCATGCTAGAAGTCACCCCTCAGGTCCAGCAGGCCCAGGCCAGTCATTTTTTAATGTCAGATGCTCCTTCAGGAGGAAGGGCAGTGCCCTTCAATGTTATTTAAGGTGTCCAGGAGTCAGTCCCGTGTGATTGTGAAACTCCAGGTAGGCTCTCTCTCTCCTCCTCCCCCCCCCTTTTTTTTTTTTTTTTTTTTTTTTTTTTTTTTTGAGACTAGGTCTCACAATGTAGCCTCTGGCTGGCCTGGAACTCACAGAGGTCCTCCTGCCTCTGCCTCCTGAAAACTGTAGTTAAAGATATGTGCCAGCCCACCCCACCGCAGAAAATCTTAAGTGTTCTTCCTGGGGCCAGTATTTTTTCCTCTGTGTTATTTCCTGTTTGGATTTCCCCCAGACCCAGATAATAAGAGGATGGCCAGGAATGTGTTGAAATATGAAAGGCTCTTGGCGGAGAACACTCATCAGACGACGGCTGAAACTGTCATTCAGAGGCCCAACGTGCCCCACCTGCAGACCAGAGACACATACGAGGGGCTATGCCAGACCCTGGGCTCCCAGGTGGGATTCCTCAGGGAAAGAGAAAGGGGAAGAATTTGGAGTTGGGATAACTTGAGGGCAAAATTGATGCTTAAAGACAACACAACTTACCAAACAACACCTGACTCCATCTTCTATTACCCTCAAATTCCAGTTTCAGGCCATGGCTCCCAGGAGCCTTGACCCTGCTTTTCTTACATCTACTTTGCTCTTTCCTTCTAGCCCACACACTACCAAAACCCCAGCCTCTACTGCTCCTATGAGACCAATTCCAGCCCCTACCTGCTGATCCAGCCCGCCCGCAAAGAGGTCATCCACCTGCGGCCCTTTGTCGCTCTCTATCATGACTTTGTTAGTGACGCAGAAGCTCAGAAGATCCGAGAGCTTGCAGAACCGTGGGTGAGCATCCTCAAATCCCCTTGTGTCCCCACATGCCCAAAGAACAGATAGCTGGCATGACAAGACTTTTTCTTAGTCTGGGAGTTCAAAATGCCAAACATTCCAAAAGGCCAGTCAACAGTAGGGAAAATCATGGCTGTTCTTGCCTCTAGTGGGAAAGGATGACTTGCCAGGGGATTTAGGAGGTGTTCAGATTGTGCTGGCAATATCTTCTTAGAGATGTGGGCTACACAGCTATAAGAAGTTGTCAAAATTCAGCCAATAGTGTTCTTGAGATCTAGTCATAACATTATATATCAAAGTGATCTCAGAAAATATAAACTAGACTTCCCCAGTGTCAACTTTTCCTTATAATGAGTAGAAGACAAGAACTTGACAAGGACAAGGACTGAAATACTAGTAAAATTGACAGAGCAGATTTGAGGATCTGACTCAACTTCATGACTCTGTTAAAGAAGAAACTGAGGCCCAGAAAATGAACTGGTTTGGTTAAAGTAAACATGTAGTTAGAGCCAGGACCAGAGTTTATAGACTGTGATGATTACCACTGTTGTTGTTCTTTCTACTAATAAGCTCAGGCTAAGTTATGTTTAGTAATAAATGGCCCCTGAACCTCGGAGACAGCAACAGTCTGCCGCATTACATGTTTGTGTGGGGTTGGCTGAAGCTTTGCCATAGCTGGTCTTCAATCTGGAACCCAGCCTGGCAGAGTAGCCGCCATTGGGCACTTTACCAGTCTCATGGAAAGGAGAAATAGACAGAAATGGCAAATGTGAGCTGGCTTTTAAAGCTTCTGTTCAGAAGCTGCAAACATCACTTCCACCCCTATGACTCTGGTAAAAAGAAAATAAATAAATAAACAAACAAACAAACAAAGACAGATCTCCATGAGTTCAAAGCCAGCCTGGTTGGCATAGTGAGTGCCGGGATAGCCAGAGCTACATAGTGAGACCCTGTCTCAAAGGGCCAAAAATAAAAGGAGGCTGTCTAACCCTCCATAGGGAAGGAAGTGACTGAGCCAAGCTGGTGCCACTGGGAAGAATGTGTCGTTGCCCCCGCTAGGAAATGTGGCAAATGTCAGGAAACGATAGTCCATCTCACTTCTATAAGCCTGTTGTACTCTCTTTCAAGGCACAATTATTTGGTGCAGAATTGTTTATTCTAACCAGACATCATGTCCTTAAGTACATTGCCCATCCATCACCAGAAACAGCCTGCCCAGACTCTCTACTTTTACAAAGTGGTGAGGAACTTTTCCTCCATGTAAGGCAGTGGTTCTCAACCTGTGGGTCATGACCCCTTGGGGGTTCAAATGACCTTTCACAAGGCTTGCCTAAGATCATCAGAAAACACAGATATTTACATTATGATTCATAACAGTAGCAAAGTAACAGTTATGAAGTAGTACTGAAAATAATCTTATGGCTGGGGGGGGGGGGATCACCACAACATGAGGAGCTGTATTAAGGGTCTCAGCATTAAGGAGGTTGAGAACCACTGGTCTAAGGGGGAAAGTGCTGTGATCAAATGTGCTGTGTGAGGCAGGCTGTAGTGGGAGGGTGGGAGGGTGGGAGGGACCTCTGGGGAGGACAGAAGGAGCAGGCTTCCTTCACTGAGGGTAAAGGAGGAAGTATTCAGGGGAGACAAAGCCGCACATTGAGGGTGCCTGAGGGGTGACATGTTCCAAGAACAGTGAGAAGCTTGGTGGCTGAAGTGTACAAAGGACAGGGCAGAAGATGATCACTGATGGGGACAGACAATGTGAGTCTGTTAACAGAAGCCACGTTGGAGAGTTTGGGCTTTATCCCATATGCTGTGGAGGAACTGGGGGCCAAGGTGGGACACAAAAGAGGGTCACAACTGGGGGAATGATGTTAAGGAAAACTCTGAGAGAAGAAATGGATTGGAGCGAGAACAGCAATCATTGTATCACACAGAGGGTCCTCCAGGCCACTCTAGAGCCTCTTCTGTTTGTTGAGGTTATAGTTGTTATAGTTGTGGCTGTGGTTAGCTCTGATGGGGATGAGAACAATGCATTGTTGGTGGCATCAGCATCTCAGGGAGGCACAAGTTGCATCAGGCCTGCAGGAGCCTGCTCCTTAGATCATCTCCGTTGCCATGGTGATGGGACAGGCAACCCATCCAAAGATGTTCACTGAATCCTTAACAGCAAGGTCATCTATTCAGCATACACTGCCCTTGCCACATTCCCTCCCCACAACAACCTCTCACTGGACTTGTTCGTGCCTGTCTGGCCTGTGACTGTTCCAGGGATAAACTGAGCGCTTATGGGAAGATGGACCCATGAGCCTCCCTGGCGATCTGCCTCCTCTCCCATCACTTCCCTCTCCATCTACCCCGTGCCCATCCTCCTCAAGCACTCAGTGGGAACCATGTACCTCCCGTAGTCCCCAGCACTGACTGCAGCTCTGACACTGCTGTCGTTGGCTCTCTGAATGGTTGTGCCCTTCAGGGCACTTTTACAGGGCCACCTGCACTAAACTATCCCTTGTCTGAACTCAAGGCTTTCGGTACCAGCTGTATAGCACTTAATTTTTATGTTAACCCTGACATTTATATTGGTTGGCATCACTAGACATTTTATGGGTTAATGTCCTGTCTGCCCAACCCAGATTATGCTCATTGTTGCCAGTATTATGATTTTGTCTCATGTGTGATGTTTATACTTGTTCACGTGTGTATACTCATTTGTATGATGCCAGGTTGAATTAGAAGGTTTTCCTTATCAACCTCCCACCTTATTTTTTTGAGATGGTCCCTCACTGACCTTGGAGCTCATCAATACAGCTAAGCTGGCTAGCCAATGAACTCCCAAGTTCCACTTGTCTCCACCTCTTGTTTACCCTTGAGATTACAGACCTTCACACCTGACTTTTTACATGGATGCTGGAGGTCCAAACAAGATCCTGCTTGCACAGTGGGACTCTGACCAACTGAGCTATCTCCCAAACCCTTATCTGTATACTTTGAGAAAAGTTTTGCTGTGTTGCCCTAACTGGCCTCAAATTCCTGGGTTCAGGGGATGCTCCTTCTCAGTCTTGTGAGTGTTGGGTATTCAGGCAAGTGCCACTTTGCCTGCCAAAACTAGTTTTTAATGTCAGAACTGGCTTAGTAAGACTCTTACTTAAACTCTTTGAGTGTTGACACTGCTCTGTAGCCTGGCTTGTTGCTGACTCCTTCCACTCTATCTCTCCCTTTGCCCTAGGCAATCCAGCTGTTTGTCTTTCCTGTAAATAGGCCTCTCTCTGTCTCTGTCTCTCTCCCTACCCACTTCCCTCTATTCTTTCTGTCAGCAATGTGTGGGACACTCTATTCTGGACGATTGCAGCACGAGTATGGGCATTCTGGGAAGGCTTTGATCCCTCAGAAGAAGAGCTAGAGGCCTGTCTCTATGTATCCATAGTAGCCCATGCTTGCCATTACAACACCATCAGTCTATGAACAGAAACTGTTTTAACACACACACACACACATCACGCAGTGCATAACATCATAAATACAATACTTACTTGCTCTCAAAATGAATGATTTATTTGTAGACAATGATCAAAGAACTGTGAAAGGATTAGGTACAAAGTAATCTCCTAATTGGGGGGGGGGTAGAATGGTTTTAGAAAGGATAGAGGCATCACTGGTCACCTGCACATCCTAGTATAATAGAGCACTGGGCCAAGAAGAGCTCTTGATAGTCTATTGGTGTGGTGTGACTGTAGATGAGGAAATGGGTCTGAGGAAAAGGAGCAGGCTTTTCCAAGATGGCTGCCTGGTTTAGCAGCAGGAAGAGCAGTTACATTAGAGAAGGGACTGGATTCAGCTGTATGTGGTTCACGAAGGGAAGGGTTTCAGTTGCATGCAGTTCATGAGGGGAAGGGTTTTGGTTGTATGCAGTTTACTATTCTACCTCACCTCTCATTTCTCAGAGGTAGGAGAGAATGGGGGAGTTGGAGGAGCTGGCTTCATTTGCTCAGCTGGCCCTTTAACCATTTCTGAGCATCTCTACCTGCCAGGATGTCCTTGCCCTACAGAGGCTGACTCATGCCAAAGACAGAAACAGACACAGCCTCAAGAGTTCATTTCTCTGTCCCTAGCACAGAGAGTTTGCAATCAGGAGGTACTTTAAAAAAAAAAAAAAAAGCATGTAAGTGTCATATACAGATCAATTCAGAACCAAAGAGAAACAGGTGACCTCAACCTGTGGTGTTTTGTTTTGTATTTCTGTTTTATTTTGTTTGGTTGTAAGCTTGGCGGTTTCAGCTTAGCTGTGAGCTCTGGAAGGAAAGAAGGAAGGGTTTTGCTTTGGATTCTTCAGAAGGAGCAGGCTGCCCCTGCGTGCACACGTTTGTGGTTGGAGGTGTTTGTTTAATCTGAGAAACATGAAGTTTTACCCTGCTCAAGCCCTGATGCTGTGATATAAACCAAGATAAAAAATGGCTATGCTCTTCCCCAATTCAGTCCTGCAGGCACAAAGGGAATTCTGGGATGTTTTCGTACTACACACGAAATGCACTTTAAGAAGTAGGAGTTGGTGATGGCTAAGCTTCAGAGAGAGGACTGTCTGTGGCCATGATGGGCCACCCTTTTGTACCCAAACCACCTGGTCTTTCTCTTGTGCTTCTTACCAGCTCCAGAGATCCGTGGTGGCTTCAGGGGAAAAGCAGTTACCAGTGGAGTACCGCATCAGTAAAAGGTAAGGAGGCCACTCCAGCCTAGGGCTGAGGCCCGACTGACTGCTGGGTCAGCAACAACCTTTCTTGGAATGGCTAGAGAGCCTGTAGTTCACCATGGGAAACTCTTACGAGAGAAGTTTCCATCCTGTCACCCCAGTACCTTCACCAGATTGCAGTATTATCTAGAGATTGAGAAGTCACCAGAAAAAGGCTTTGGGAAAACTCCACCTTCGATCAGAAAGTGCTCTGTTGCTTCTTCCCAGAGTGCATTCCTACACACATCTGTAATTTTTGTTTTGTTTTAAGATCCATTTATTTATTATGTATAGTGTTTCTGCGCATACACCTGCCCGCCAGAAGAGGGCACCAGATCTCATTACAGATGGTTGTGAGCCACCATGTGGTTGGGGGGGGGGGGGGGAATTGAACTCAGGACCTGTGGAAGAGCGGCCAGTGCTCTTAACTGCTGAGCCATCTCTGTATTACACATCTGTAATTTGACTGTACAGACTCCACTCCACCTCCTGACTCCAATACAGAGCCTTCTGAGCAACTTGTAGGCAGAAGGCAGGAATGGACTCCCCAGGCCTTCTGGTTTCTCAAGGGGCAGGCTCCAATGTAGCGTAGCACACAGGCCTATCCTCCCCAGCCCTTCCCACCATCCAGCCCTACCCTCAACTGTGTATTTTCACAGTGAGTACAGGAGAGAGAGGAGGAATGTCCATCACAGCCACACAGGAAAGTGGCATCAGCATCCCAGAGAAAGGCTAGACCTCAGACATGTGCCCTTGTCCTCTGGGAGGGATGTGAGAGACAAAAGCTTTGGTTCAGGATTATTTGGGCTTATTTCATGTTGTCTGTGAACAAAACCCCACAAGAAACAACTGAAAGAAGGGTTCGCTTTGGTGGCTGGTGGTTCCATGGTGGCAGGAGTGGGCAGCAGAAACCTCACCTTCTTACCCTGTAGCAGAGACAGAGGCTGGGGTTGGAAGGGAAACTGGCTATGATCCTCAAGATCCGCCTCCCGGTTTTACAACCTCACAAAACAGCATCATCGTCTGGAGACTGAGTGTTCAAACACATGCACCTGGGGGGAGCATTCTCCATCCAAACCATCTACAGGGACATTTGACATGAAAAGCTGTTCTCTAACCTTGGAATATCTGCTAATCTGTGTGTGCACCATGTGCATGCATTGAACCCAGAAGCTAGAGGAAGGCTTTGTACTCTCAGAAGTTACAGGCAGTTCTGTTGCCCAGTGTAGATGCTAGGAACTGAACCCTGGTCTCTGCAAGAGCTTCAAGTGCTCTTAACCACTAAGACATCGTTCCAGCCTCTGTGCTTTTCTTCTTTGAAAGCAGTGGCTAGTTTTGTCCTGGGTATTTTTGCAAATCTAAGAGCATGCCATTTAAAAAATAATCTGAGTGTAAAGTATGTGGAACAAATCAACCTATCAGGTGTCACTGGCTTTGCTTAGAGAACATGGCCTCATTTTTCTAGGGCCTTGATCTGACTACAACTTTTTAACAATGTCAAGAAGACATTCAGAAAGAGTCTGAACTGGGTTTTGACCTGTCATGGTTTGCCCAGAGTTGAGACTCACCTGGGTATCATAGCTGTCACCAACACACCTTACAGAGCATCTCCATGAGTGTTTCTCTCACAGTTTCTTAAAATCTGGAGGTAGATATAATCATCACCCTCACTCCTAGAGGACGACACTGGTCCTTGAGAGGTTAAAGGTTAAGTACCGACAGCACCTGGCACAGATGAACTATTACTACTACTTTAGTTTCTTCCTCTCCCATTCCTCCTTCCTTTCTTATCCGCCACTTCCTGTGGTTGGGGTGTCAGGGTCTTGCTGTGTTTCCCAGGCTGCTTTTGAACTCCTGGACTCAAGCCACTTTCCTGCCTCAGCTTCCTGAGGGCTGGGACATAGCACCACAGCACCACACCCTGAAGTCATCGCTTTAAGTCCTGGCTGTTGTCATGGCACTCTGTTTCCTGTGTTGGAGATGTCCTCATAGCACAGCAGTTTTAAGGATGGGGTTTTGCCATCTTCAGCTCTGAGTCACAGCTCTGGGTTCTGTGAGCTCTCACTGGGCTCACTCAGCTCAGCACTAGCCTCAGAGAATGTGAGCTATGTTAGTGTTGAGATAGTAGGCCAAGCACACTGGGCTGACCTGACGTGTGGGAGAGGCCCTCTAACGGACTTGATTCATTTTTTTATTCATACATTCATTCACCCATGTGTCTACCCATATGTCCTGGGGTTTCTATTGCTGTGAAGAGACACCATGACCATGGCAACTCTTACACAGGAAAACATTTAATTGGGGTGGCTTACAGTTCAGAGGTTTATCCATTATCGTGATGGGACATGGCAGCAGGCAGACATGGTGCTGGAGAAGGAGCTGAGAGTTCTGCATCTTGACCCGAAGGCACCAGGAAGTGAACTGTGTACCACACTGAGTAAAGCTTGAGCACAGGAGACCTCAGAGCCTGCCCCCACAGTGACACACTTCTTCCAACAAAGCCATATGCTCTAATAGTGCCCCCACACCATGCACTCTTTCACAGACTTCATATAGTGATTTTTAACACCAGGTCACTGTTGTTCCCATCTTTGCTGTGTTTTAGTGCCTGGCTGAAGGACACAGTTGACCCGATGCTGGGGACGCTTGACCACCGCATTGCTGCCCTCACAGGCCTTGACATGCAGCCTCCCTATGCAGAGTATCTCCAGGTGGTGAACTATGGAATCGGAGGGCACTACGAGCCTCACTTTGACCATGCTACGGTAACGATGGGATCAATGACCAGTCTTCTGGGGTGGGGAGCCAGTGTGTTATTTCTCAGAGGCAGAGGTCTGGAGGAGCTCTCAGAAAATACTAAGGAAGGACCTAGAACAAAGACTTTTGTTTCCAAAGCATCTAAAACCCTTGGTTAAAGCTGATTATTGGGTTCATTTTCTTGTCTGCCACCACCTTCCTCTTCTCCAGAATTTGGGAGTAGGAAAATATGGCCTGTAATAACATTCCATCTCCTACTTCCCTTGGGGACTTTCCCATGAGGATTGCCCTCAAATCTCTCTCCTCTCTTTATGATCTCAACTGTTCACCACATTGCTAGTAGCAAATATTTTTGAGGATTAAAGGGGGGTAGCATGGTCGAATCATGGGAATATCACAGTGAAACCCATGGATACAATTAATATATTGATAATTTTAAAATGAGAAAAACACAAGAGATATACAGGTGACTGATAAACAAATGAAAAGATTCACAACACCATGGGGGAAAAAGACTGCCCTGCAATTAATCCACAGCTCCCACTTTATCAAGATCCTAAGAACTTTAAAAGTAGTATTCAAGTGGCTGGGGAGATGGCTTGGGGGTAGTGTCTGCCTTGCAAGCACAAGGGCCGGGGTTTGAATCCCTAGAATCCACAACAAAAAGCTATCAGGTGCATTAGAACACATCTGTAATCCCAGTACTTTTAGGGCAAATGGGAGGTGGAGACGGGAGAAACCGTGGAAGACTTTGCCCAGCTAGTCTGGCATATGTCAGGCAAACAAGTGACCCTGTCTCAAACAAGATGGAAAAGGAGAACCTATGCCCAAGATTGTCTTCTGACCTCCACATGTGCATTGTGGCCTACACTTAGGCAACATACATACATGCACACACACACACACACACACACACACACAGAGAGAGAGAGAGAGAGAGAGGTGAGTATACAAGTTAAAGAGGGAAACCATTCACTAAAGACTTCATATTTTATGATTCTATTTACATAAATTCCTAGAAAAGACAAAATACAGACAGAAAATAGATAACCAGGTTTTGTGGGGACATGACTGACTATAAACCTTTATTTGCAGGTGGAAATTTCTAAAACTAGATTGTGGGCAAGGTTGGGCAGCTGTTAAAATTTGCTAAAATTCAGCTAATAGTATTTGCCATCTGTGAATTCCATGGTATGCAAGTTATATTAGATTGTTCCTTGATTAAAGATGAGTGTGAGCCTTGGGAAAATAATTTGGAACATCAATCTTATGATTCAATATTTCTACAAGATTATCTTCTTAATATATTTTCTTTTACAAAGAACCTGAAGTGCAGAACCTCTTGGCTAATTTTTCACCTTGACAAATCACTTATTTGATTTGTATAGTATACACTTAAGTGCATATCCAAAAAATTCATGTCCAATTAAAAGTATATTGAGTACTTGGCAGCAAAGGTGAATACAGTCTACTTGGTGTAGTTCATGGTTACATGCTGTACTTGACACCCTCTTTTATCCCTTTCTGTACTAATGGTAAATCCTGGCTGTCACTCTGGTATCATTTACACAAAGTAACCATCTTCTCTGTTTCTGTCCCAGTCGCCAAGCAGCCCCCTGTACAGGATGAAGTCTGGGAACCGAGTTGCAACATTTATGATCTATGTGAGTCTCCCTCTAAGAGAACCAAGACTTCTTACTTATGTGGCTAAGTAGACTATTTTATCATATGGATTTTCAAAGTGATTTCACATATTGGTTTTATCTGGTACTGAATACAAAAATGTCTAGGAATTTTCTAAACAACAGAAAACATTATTTTGTTACATGTAAACATAAGGGATGCCAGACAGATGTCTGTCCTCGGAGAGCTTGCAGTGCAAAGGGGATAGGGAAAGCCAGGGACCCTGGGACTTGAACAACTCAGGAAAAGGATATAGTTGTCTCCCACCTTAAAGCCTCAAAGCTCTGAAAAGCATAGACCCATCAGTGAATCCATGGACTTGTAGGAGAAAGAGAAGAGAAAGGAGCAATTTAGACTCCAAGAGGAGAGAGAGTGGGAAGATATAAAGTGGGTAAGTGCCCCTGATAAGCAATGGAAAATTTCCTCCTGTCTGCTGTAGAGTCCCACACCCTTAAATAAAACACTAAAATGATCAGTTGGCCTCCTCTCTAAATCCCTGGCCTGGTCCACAGGAATCAGTCCCAGCCTTCATCAACCTTATTATCCTACAGACTATGAAGTTTTACTTTCATCTACACAAACCAGCCATATCCCAATCATCTATCACTTAGAATAGACTATTAGAAGCAATCATTTATTGGGGAGATTTATTAATGCTTCTTGGTCTTTTGACTAAGATCAAGTGTAGATGAGACTCAGTACTATTAGTGGAAGGGTAAACATGCCAACCACAAGGGCTCTGAATATCACCCCAAGGTGGACTCAGGCTCCTTGTAGGAACAGACACTCCCTCGGCATGTCCTCTACCCTGAGGGCTGTATCCAGTCTCCACAGCACATCAAGGAAAGGCTGGTGTTCAATATCATCTCTATGTTAATGATTCTAGTGTGTCTCCCAGGTCCCAGCTGCATACTTCCTGTAACAAGAGAATGCCATCTAGAAGGTGTCATATAACTCTGTGCCTGCCATTGTACCTACCATGCAAGTATGGGAAAGAAAGTCACAAGGCCAATCAGTGTTGCAGGGACCTAAGATGGACATAGTTATGCCTGGTGCATGCATCCTTACATCGATATAGATGTCAGAAATTTCCCAAGACAGTTGTTGAGGTTTGTGGGAAGCACAAGAAGTGCAGATAGAGGGTTGAGCTGAAAGCCAACAGGTCAGTAATTTTTCTGTTCAGACTGGACATAAGATCAGTGTGGATATGACAATCTTAACTCATAGGACTCTTGTCAGGACCAAGTGAGACCATGTATTTGTAGAGACTTAGTATAATGCCTGCCATAAATGACAACTATTAACCAATACAAACTGTGACTGTGTATGCTTTTCTAGATAGTAAGATGACAGGGGCTGTTATTTTTTTTAAAATATTTTCATATATTTAAAATGTTTATATTATTTCATTGAAAATAAGAAGGAAAAAATTATTCCTTTTATATTAGGAAAATACATCCAGAACTGAGATTGTTCTGTCAGTAGAATGTTTGCCTTAAAAAACACGATGACAGAACGAACCTATGTGCGAATCTAGGCTGGGGAGACAGAGACCGGCAGATCCATGGGGTTCAGGGGCTAGCTGGTCTAGCACCTGGGCAAGTTCCAGGCCAGAGAGAGACCTTGTCTCAAAAATCCAGGGAGACAGTGTCTGGGAACTGACACCTGAGGTCGACTTTTGGCCAGCTCATGTGTGTGTACATGTATCCCCCCCCCATCTAATTATTCCTCAGTGTCTTAGGGTTACCATTGCTGTAATGAAACACCAGGACAAAACAACCTGGGGAGGAAAGGGTTTATTTGGCTTACTCTTCATCATCAAAGGACATCAAACAGAACTCAAGCAGGGCAGGAACCTGGAGGCAGGAGCTATTGCAGAGGCCATGGCGGAGTGCTGCTTACTGACTTGTTCCCCAGACTTACTCAGTCTGCTTTCTTATAAAATCCAGGACCACCAGCCCCAGGATGCCTCCACCCACAATGGGCTGGATCATCCCCCATCAATCGCTAATTAAGAAAATGTCTTACAGGCCTGCCTCTGGCCCCATCTTCTGGAGGCACTTTATTTCTCTGTCTCTCTCTCTCTCTTTCTTTCTTTCTTTCTTTCTTCTTCTTCTCCTCCTTTTTTAAAGATTTATTTATTATGTATACATTATTCTGCCCCATGTATGCCTGCAGGCCAGAAGAGGGCATTAAATCCCATTATAGATGATTGTGAGCCACCATGTGGTTGCTGGGAATTGAACTCAGAACCTCTAGAAAAGCATCCAGTGCTCTTAACTTCTGAGCTATCTCTCCAGCCCTGGAGGCATTTTCTTAATCCAGACTTTAGCTTGTATCAAGTTGACATAAAACTAGTCAGCACACTTAGTTTAGGTAACATAGAAGGAATCTAAGTGGTCTGAGGACCACAGTAGGGCCAATAAACAGTTCTGATGTTCACCCTTTCCTGATTCCTTGAGAGAACCAGATTCAATCAAAGATGTTTGAGAAGTTAAAAGCACTGGCTGCTCTTGCGGGGAGACAGTTTGTTCCCAGCACCTACATCAGGCAGTGCACACAGCCCGTGGCTCCAGCTTGTTTGAACCTCAAGGCACCCACACACGTTTACACACATACATAGGTATACACATAATTTTTATCTGTGTGTATGAATGCTTTGCTTTCATGTATGTTTACATGCCACATATATGCCTGGTGCACAAGGAGGCCAGAAGAGAACTTGATCCCCTGGAACTGTAGTTAAAGATGATTGTGCTGGGAACCAAACCTGGCCCTCAGCAAGAACACATGCTCTGAAGCACTGACCTATCTTGCCAACCCCCTACATGTAATTTTTAAAAGTAAATAAATCTTTTTAAAGAGTTTGAATCTACATATTATAGCCCTCCATCAAGATGGTAGCCAGAAGCGAAAATAAGGGAGGGATTCCAGAATCTCATCTAGTGGTGAGAAGCCTCATGGACAAGTAGCAGCACCCTCGCAGAGGTTCACTGAGTTGGGAAGTTGGATGAGTGTCTTCTAAAGATTTCTCCCATGACTTGACACAAGGGAGCCCTGCACACATGCATTCTGCAGAAATGGCCTCTAAATTCATGAGTATATGACAGAGGACTGTCAGCAGCCATCCTAACTCTGGTCTCTTCCTCTTGTATGACAGCTGAGTGAAGTGGAGGCTGGAGGAGCCACGGCCTTTATCTATGCCAACTTCAGTGTGCCTGTGGTTAAGGTGAGTGGGCCTGGCCCTACAGGGTGTGGATGCAATGGTATGTGATGGCAAGAACTCACTCCTCTCCTGCAAGCTGATGCCTGGGGAGATGGGTGAAGAGACCCTTCTGGAATCCCAAAGACAATCTGCCATTCTGTTGTAGTTAGGGTTTCTATTGCTTTGAAGAGACACCATGACCATGGCAACTCTTATAAAGGAAAACACTTAATGGCATGACTTACAGTCTCAGAGGTTTATCCCACTGTCTTCATAGTGGGACATGGCAGTGTACAAGCTGACATGAGCTGGAGAAGGAGCTGAGAGTCCTACATTGTGACTTGCAGGCAACAGGAAGTGGTCTGTCTCACTGGGCAAGGCTTGAACATATATGCCTGCCTCACACAGTGACACACTTCCTCCAACAACAAGGCCACGCCCACACCAATAAAGCCACACCTCCTACTAGTGCCACTCCCTTTGGGGACCATTTTCTTTCAATTCACCACACATTCCTATTACTACACATGTTCTGTTGTTCTATTTCTGTGTCTGTTACATGAAGATGACAGGCCTGTGTTCCTTGCCACTGTGGGTTCCTTAAAGGTTAAGAACTCTGAGTCACCCTCAGATTCCCCACAGAAACTAGTTCCATACAGAGCTAAGGCACTAAGGACTCATCAATGCCTAGCACCCTGTCCCTGAGCTCACAGAGAGTAACAGCCATGACAACACACAGAGAGTCAGCGCTGAGGTTTGTTTTGTGGGTGATTATATCCTCCGTGTTTCAGAAGATCAACATGCCCTTAGTAACTCGAAGAAAATGAATTAGAAGCTGATTCTGAAGCGCTGGACACAGTGCCTGGTGCATTCTGAGCACCCAGTAAGCCACTGAGAAGCACCCAGGGGCGCGGCCTGTTTCCAGTGCTCGTCCTTGCCCTCGGGCTCTGTCTAATGGCCATGGTTAGAGAGAGCCTTAGGGGGTGGCTAAGAAAACAGGGCATGGGAGGAGAACAGGCTATGGGGTAGGGCACAAGGGATTGAGTCCTGACTTTGTGTTTTAGTTGCATGATTTCAAGGCCCCAGTGGTGGAGGACTGTGGTGCACTTGGTTTCAGCTGTGTGGGGGATATGTTCCACCCTGTGGATCTTGTTGGGTGTCTGTCCACAGTGACTCTGTGCTTGCCTGGCTCCCAGCACTGGCCACATTGTCCTGTTCTGCTCTTTCATATCCATCTCGCTGGGGCTCTCTAAGAGCAGAGTTGGTGTAGCTTGTCTCTACACGTCCAAGTGTGGAATAGAGCAGGCCATGAGGCAGTGACCCACACTTGAGTGGCAACTTTCACCCTCTTGTGCCTTTCAATACCTGTTTTCTCCAAACTGCATGGGGGTAAAAGAGTTTCCTTATTTAATGGCATAAATTCTGCGTCCTTATTCACATGCCTACCAGAAGTCCAGGACTCTGGGCTGACCCCTCCTGCCCCGCCCCGCCATGCCCCACCCCCTGGGGCTGGGCCCTCTTGTTTCCAGAATGCTGCACTGTTCTGGTGGAACCTGCACCGGAGTGGAGAGGGGGATGGAGACACACTTCATGCTGGCTGTCCTGTCCTGGTGGGAGATAAGTGGGGTAAGGCCTGTCTTTGTGGGTGAGAAAGTGGGGTGAAGAGGCATAGAAAAGTGGAATGGCGGGGTGGGGGCTGGCAGCCTCCTTTCTGAAGGCTTCGTGGTACTGCCAAGTGCCAGTGACGTGAACAGAGTTGCAGTCAGGTGTCCCAGAAGATCTGGGGCCTGTGAAGAGCAGCTGTCAGCAAAGGGACCACAGGCCTGGTCAGGAGCCTTCATTTGAGCAGAGAGGAGGACTGGGACACCAGAGTGCCTTCCCTCCCTCTGTATCAAGGTAAACACAGTCAAACCTGCTGCTACTATGTAGCTCTGCCCCAAAGCAGTGGTTAAGCACAAAGCTACAGCAGAGGATGGATAGACAGGCTCATGATGGACAGACATGTTTATTGGCATGTGTCCAAGAGCACCTCGTTCTGTAGCTAGACAGGCAAGGGGAAAATGGCCTCACATAGACAGGCTCACCAGGAGAAGCACTCCCTGTTACCCAAGAGTGGCTTCTGTTTCACTGGAGTTTGTAGAACAGTGAATGACCTGGGTGCCACACACATGCAAATCAGTACGCCATTAGCATGATCTGCTAGAGAATTTCTGGACAATACACTTGCTAAGCTGGGAGCAGCAGATTGTGCAGTTGGACGGAGGCTAGGCTAGGCAAACAGCTTTAGGCTGGCCTCCTGAGCCCTGTGATCAAATGGCCACCTCCCTCCTGAGCCCCCTCTATCTCCCTGCTCTCCTCCAGTGGCCAACAAGTGGATACATGAGTACGGACAGGAATTCCGAAGACCCTGCAGCACCAACCCTCAAGACTGAAGCACTGGGGATGGAAGGAAGCTTGTCAGAGAAGATGGAAACAAAGCCACAGGCAGAGAGGAGTGCAGTCTCCTGAAGGAAGAAGGCCTCACAGCAAGGCCTTGTGAGTGGGAGCTAGGCATGGTCTTTATCAGGAACACTCCATCCCTCCCACCCCCCCCCCAAGAGAATTTGCATTTGGTTCTACTCCAGCTGTGAGACTTAGGATAGAATGGGAAATACATAAGTGGCCTGAGGTCTCCAGTGCTCAGATGCCCTTGGGAATGAAACAGGTGAGCTCAGTATAGAACACTTATTTAACATGTGCAAATACCTGCCTGGGCTCTGTCCACTAGCACTGAGCACATACTACACACACACACTACCACAAACACACAAGCACACACATGCACACAATCTGGAAACATCAGGCTGCTCCAGCAGCATTGTCTGACTCAGAGGTCTCCATCCCCATCACCAGTGGGGACTTTTTTAAAGTGGAAAACAAATTTTTTTAAATGAGTTTTGGTTGTCATTAAAATGTTTTTTTTTTTTTTTAAATCACCTCTCCCAACAGAGAATATTCTTTCATGATGTTGAATGACGAAAACCAAAGTAGTGCTGCTGATTTATGTCCTGTAGCCCAGCTCCTACTCCCATTCGGTCGCCCTGTCCTGGACTTGCTGACCTGTCCCTCAGGTCCTCTGTAGCACCATCACTCCTACCTCTCAGGCCTCCCCATTCTCAAGAGAGCCTCCCTCGTTCTATACAAGGTCCCTCTGAGGGGCTTTCCCTGACCACCTGTCTAGTCTGCCTGTTGTATCCACTACATCTCCTTGCTGATGCTCCTGTGTCTTGTTTTCCTGGTCCCTAGTCTCCTGTGCTCTGTGATGCGCCTCTTACTATGTCTCCACACTTACCTGGACTCTCAGAACCCCCAAAGGGGCTTGAAATAAGCAAGCAGAAGCAAAAGGGTTTTTTTTTTTTAATTCACTTCTATTTTATAGTTTGTAGACCAGGCTGGCCTCAAACTTAAAAGATTTTGCCTCCCAGGTGCTGGGGTTAAAGGAATGTACCTGTGGTGATATCTTGCTTGTACAATAAAGCCTGCCTGAAAGTCAGAGAATGGAGCTTGTCACTAGCTAACCATAGAGGTCTGGAAGTCTGTATAGACAGACAGGAAGTAATATGGCTGGGCAGAAACAGGGAGTGAGATGGCTGGATGGAGAGGATATAAGCAGTAAGAAACAGGAACTTGCTCTCTTGTCTGCTGAGATGCTAAGGAGGAAAGGTGTGGCTGTGGCTTGCTCCTTCTCTCTGATCTCTCAGCATTTCCCTCTATATCTGACTCTGGAATTTTATTATTTAGACCTATACAATTCCCTTTTACAAAATGTAAAGGGTGCTGCTTACTGGCTTGGTAATTATGGCTTGCTCAGCCTGCTTTCTTACAGAATCCAAGACCACCAGCCCTTGCCCATCAATCACTAGTTTAAAAACTACCCTACAGGCCTGTCTTATGGAGGCATTTTCTCAGGTGAGTTCCCTCCTTTCAGATAACCCTAGCTTGTGTGAAGTTGACATAAAATTACCCAGCACAGAATTTTAGGTTGTTTTTTTTTTTTTTTTTTTTAAGATTTATTTATTTATTAAGTACACAGTGGTCTGTCTGCATGTATGCCTGCAGGCCAGAAGAGGACACCAGATCTTATTACAGATGGTTGTGAGCCACCATGTGGTTGCTGGGAATTGAACTTGGGAACTCTGGAAGAGCAGCCAATGCTCCTAACCACTGAGCTGTCTCTCCAGCCCTGTTCTGTTAAATGGTTTATAGCATGATTCCTTATCACTTTCTCAGACATGCTTACTATTATTTTACCCTACAGCTGCCTCTGATGGGCACACTTCTAGTGTGGGACCCACTCACACATCTACACAGGTTAATAAGGTGACTTTGCTTTGGGAAATTTTGTCTTGTGCCTGGCTTTTTACATGGATGCTGGGAATCTGAACTTAAGTCTTCATGTTTGCATGGCAAGCACTTTGCCGAGTAAGCCAGCTCACTAGTTCAGCTCCCAGCCCATTTGACTTTCTTTAGGGACAGAACAGGCTTTGGTTTGACTCAAATATTTTGCTTTTGACCCCACAGCAATCCCTCACAAGAGTGCTGGGATCTCCTTGATGGTCTATAGGTTGTGCTGGGTATTAATGGCTAGCACACAGTAGGCACTCATTAGACATCAGAAGTGGACATAATAATCCTTGAAACTAGAGGGCGCAGATGCTCACCCTAGTTGTGGCTGGGGGCAAGCCATTCCTCATCTCTAAACCACAGTCACCTTGCCTTTAATTGGAGAGGATGCCTATACTTGATGGCCACATACAACACATCCGTTCTTGATGCACAGTCCCTAACAAAGCTGAATCAAACCTTGTTTCCAGCCTCTATCCACCATGCACCCAGGCTCATTTCTTTGGTGGTCCTCTTCCTGTTCTTCTGGAGCTTATGTTCCTCTGAGCTTTTGCTCAGCTGCTACATTCAGTTCAGCTGTTGCTCGCTTGCAAATGATCACCACAGCTGGGCTTGTTGACTGATGTCCCACCATGGAAAGAGACAGGAAGACCCTGGACCCTCACCTGAGTACCATCATCCATGCTTGGTAAGGACTAGCCAGTGTGGCAGCTTTGGTGTCACCCATGCTCCTGTCAGTAACTCCTTAGCCATGCTCTGTAAGTTGGCCCAATAAACTCATCCGTTCCCCTGGGAGTATTTCCGTAGAATTAAGTTTTGGTTTGTCACTGGGATCTTAGGGGGCAGGTAAATACTACAGAGATAACTCCCAGATAACTTCTGCCAGGGGTCCTTTCGATTACTCAGGAGGTAGTTTGCTGCAGAAACCACTTGGGTTTGAGCGCTGACACTTACTTCTGAGCCATAGAAACATTTAAACATCTCCATACCTGTTAAAATGAGCATAACAGCAACTGTCCCACACGTTTTTCTGAGGATTCGATGTTAAGTAAATTTGATGATGCTCAAATTGGTAATCATGGCTTTTGCCTGGTGAACAAAACCACAGGGATCATGCTGCCCCCTGCAGGCAACAGGACATGCAGCCCAAAGGCAATCCCAAAAGATAATCACACAGAAGGTAGGCCCTTCTCTACAGGGGTGCCCCTGCTTTATTTGGTCATAGTGAGGATTTAATCTCGAGCATGGATGTACTTGAAAAATGCAGGTCAGTTCTAACTCAACAAGAATGGCATAAGGACAAAACCTGCATCAAACCTCCAGGCGAGGCTGGCACTAGTGGCTCAGGGACCAAGAGTCTGCTTTGTGCCAGTCACGAGTTTTGTCAGCTGATTTACTGTAACATACATGGCCCTCCCCATCTATGGGGTAGATGCTGATTACAGTCTGCAGATGAAGAAATGGAAGTCTTTAAAGTACATGTGGAGAGTGACTCTGGGGCAGGGTCAGTAGCAGGAAACCTACAAAGGTGAGTTAATAATTTAAGTGAGAGATGATGAGGCCCAGGTCAGGTAGTAGCTGGGATGGGCAAGAGGGACATAAAGAAGGAAGGCAGCAAATGGTATGAGAATAAAGGGAAGATGACAGATTTCTAACTGTGGTCTGGACAATTGGCTTGTTCCTACCTCATATGAACTGGAACCATGCACTCTGGAGCAACCTCCAAGGAGGTGAACAGTGAGGTGGCTCCTGGTCGCCTGGGAGAGACCTTTGGACACATGGACACATGTCTAGAGCTCAGGAGATGACTGGGTGTTGGCATAAGTGAAGCCATGGATAATGAAAGTCACAGAGGCAGACTGTCCTTTTCTCCACCAGCCGAGGAGATGAGACCAGACTGCAGGTTCCCTGGGCTGTGGTAGAGACAGGCTCTGTCCGTCTTTCCAGATCAGATCTGGGGAAGATACTGATAGGCTGTAGACAAAGACAGCGTTATCAGTATCGTGGCCCCGCTGATAGTCCTCTTCCTAGTGCCCCACTGTGTATGTCCATCCCAGATTTTCAGTTTCACTATGGTTTTTCATAGGAACACGGGATAATCTGCCTACAGGAGCCGGGCTACCAACACTGGCAGACTATGGAGAAAGGGGCTTTTGAAGTCTGGTGGAAACTAAATCTAATAAACCATTCCTAGTCAGATAAGTGAAAATAAGGACAACTCCTCGTATGGATAAAGGTTGGGAGATATTTATTTTCTTTAAACAAGATCATAAATAACAAAGAAACAAAGTCGGTCCCAGACTCTGGACCGTGCAGCAGGACAGGGGTAGGAAGTTGTTGGGTGAAAACTAGAGAGGGAGCGCTACACGTCACCTAAGACAGTCACAGAAAGATGGGCTTCAGGGGGCTGCCCCTCCTGCCTGTGGAAATGGCGTGCCTGGGCAGCAGGGGGAGGCTGCAGTGCTGTGATGAGGCAGCTGGATGAGGGCAAAGACTGGGATGCTAGTCCATGATGTTTCTACATACTGACGTAGAAACCACAAGTGCAGCGAGAAGCTGTGGGTCTACAAGAGGCAAGCGGCACTTGGCACACCTTCAGGAACCAACTATGAAAATGGTTAAATTCAATCATTAAAAACAATTCCACAGGATTTAGCCTGTGGCTTTGTGCGTGGGCTGTGTTTAACCTGGGCTGCTCTGTGGCAGATGAGGGCACATGAGACCCCTGGAGCAGCCTGGCCTCAGCCCAGGGCAGGTGCCCAGACATGTGGGAGTGGGAAGTGGGCTCACCCAGACGGGAAGCCATGTGCTTGGACTGGCTGGACCTGGCTTATGGGCGGGTTTCTTGGGATGCTTGCTATCTACTACCTCTCCTTGAACCTAGGGCTGGAACCCTGGTCACCCTGGCTCTTCAAGACCTGGAACAGTTAAGACTATGATAAAGGTACCTGACTGGTGTTTTATTTGAAGGGGAAAAATAAGGACCAGTGTGTGCATTGCCCATCCCATGAGGTAGGGCAGGACCATGCCAAAAACATTCTCAAGGAATGGAGATCCCTGAGCCTGGGGAGACTTATGGACCCAGGTACATTGCAGGATGCCAGGAACAGGGGCCCAGGGAGTAGCTTTGGAGGCTTCACCCTAGGCAAGGCAGGAAGCACAGGAGGGGAGAGGAAGAGCTGGGGACCCCAGACTGCGCAGGCCACTGTTGGACAAGGGCCCTG